GGTGGGTAAGGAACCCTGCCTGAAACCGGATATGCTGCCATATTGGGGATGGCAATCCATACCAGGTTCGGACCATATTTGGAAGTGGGAGGGAATGAAAAATACTATTCCACATGTGATATGCTTTGTTATTTCAAAATTTAGTGCTTAAATAAATAAAATTAAATAAATACTTACTTTTAAATATCTACTTTGGACTCTGGAGTTTCTGTTCAATACAACCTCGATTTCCTGAGTTCCTGTGAGTATGACTGCTGGAAAATTCATCTAAATTTCCATAATGAGATGATATGCACCACAAGTCCTGAGCCAACTTCTAATAGGCTTTAAAAAGTGTGAGTTTGCTGACTACTTCTATTTTTATCAATTTATGTCATATACAAGTTACACTATGTGTATTTGTTTTGTATTTATTTTGACATAGGAAAAATAAACTCTACCATAATATTTATTAACCCCTTAAAACCGGAGGACGTACAATTTCGCCCTATTATAGGCGGCTCTAAACGCCGCCTCCGGTTTTTGTTAACTTACCCGGTCGCCGGCGGTCCCACGCCGGCGATCGCGGTGGGGGGGACTCCCAGGGAGCCCCCCCGCAGCAGATCCTTCTCCTCCGGTGCTCCCCGGCAATGTGAGAGTGGGGTCCTAGCGAGGACCCCACAATCACATGGCCAGGTAGGCTGCCTCCTGCATTGCCAGCAGGGGGGCTGCCTGTAATGACAGGTGGTCCCCCTGCTGGCTGGAAATAAACTTAAAATTAAATTTATTGGTGTAAAAAAAAAATAATATATACTTAGATCATATGTATATATTATATATATATATGATCTAAGTATATATATATACACATATACATACACACACGTACACCGTCTAGGTGTATTTTACTATTAATATATATATAATTATATATATATATATTAATATCAAATTACACGTAGACTGATACTGATTAAATATATATATAATTATTGTTATATATATATTTATATATAATATAAAAAAAATATAAATGTAAATACGTTAAAAAATAAAATAAAAAAAATAATTACAAATAAATAATTAAAAAATATATAGATGTGTGTTATTTCGTTCTGTTTTGTGAAATTAATATATATATATATATATATATATATAATAAAATACATGTAGAACGAAATAATATATATATCTATATACATAAATGTATACGTATATATCACTATATATACCTATATATAAATAAAAATATTTTTAAAAAATTATATAGATATATACATATATATACACATACGTATATATATATATATATACATATATTAATTCTACATATGTATTTATGTAATATTTTTACATAATTAGGTATCTTAATTAATTACAATTAGCAGGACCTGCCTGACAACCCATGCCGAAAGTAAAGGGAATTTAATTTGCTAGCACTATATTTAACCCTATAACTTTCCGAGACACCATAAAACCTGTACATGGGGGGTACTGTTCTACTCGGGAGACTTCGCTGAACACAAATATTAGTGTTTCAAAAACAGTAAAATGTATTACAACGATGATATCGCCAGTAAAAGTTAAGTTTTTTGCATTTTTCACGCACAAACAGCACTTACACGGACAATATTATTGCTGCGATACTTTTTACTGTTTTGAAACACAAATATTTGTGTTCAGCGAAGTCTCCCGAGTACAACAGTACCCCTCATGTACAGGTTTTATGGTGTTTTCAAAAGTTACAGCGTCAAATATAAGGCTTGTGTTTCATTTTTTTCACATTAAAATTCGCCAGATTGGTTACGTTGCCTTTGAGACCCTATGGTAGCCCAAGAATGAAAATTACCACTATGATGGCATACCATTTGCAATAGAAGACAACCCAAGGTATTGCAAACAGGGTATGTCCAGTCTTTTAGTAGCCACTTAGTCACAAACATCAAAATTACGCTTTTTGCATTTTTCACACACAAACAAATACTAACGCTTAACTTTGGCCAGTGTTTGTGGCCAAATGGCTACTAAAAAAACTGGACATACCCCATTTGCAATACCTTGGGTTGTCTACTATTGCAAATGGTATGCCATTATGGGTGTAAATTCCATTCCTGGGCTACTATAAAGTCCCAAAGGCAACGTAACCAATCTGGCGAATTTCAATTTCAAATGTAACATGCTATATTTGACCCTGTAACTTCCCAAAACGCCATAAAACCTGTACATAGGGGGTACTGTTTTACACGTGAGACTTTGCTGAATACAAATATGTGTATTTTATTGCAGTAAAGCAAACAGTATTATGACATTAACCGTTAAAATGTCAAGTAGAACTAAAAAAA